GCGTTTTTCCTTCTATTCCTTTATTTCTTCTTACACTTTACTTTTCTCTTTTCTTATATTACTTCTTTTTTTTTTTTTTTCTTTGTGTGTGTGTAATTTTGTTTATAAATTGTTTATATTACGTATATATCTTTCCCAAAAGCTCACGGCGGCGTAGCAACACTTTCAACGATTTTCCGATACGCGATATTGCAAGCTTACTTTTCACACGTATATCACACATACACACATATATATATATTACACACACATAAACGTACGTACGTATGTACCATTTTACTTACTTTCTTACTTAACATACATACATGCATACATACAAACACATACACACACCGGACGACTTTAGTAGCATTGAAATAAACTAATCAGAAAAGGATTTATTAGTATACTGAATAATCGGATTAATTATTACAAGGACTCTCATTTTTTGTTTTTTTTTTTTTTCAATCGTCTTCTTCTTTTTGTTTTTATTTTATTTCTCTCTCTCTCTCTCTCTGTCTCTTTCTTTCTCAAATATTTTTCCGAATGAAAAAATACGATGAGAAAATGGGGGGGGGGGGAGGATAAAAAAAACAAGAATATTTGCGTTTTATAAAAAAAAAAGAAAAAAAAGTTAGTTCGAACAAATTCGATTCGATTTTATTTTATTATATATTTTTGTATGGAGTTAAATTAAAAAAAAATTGTATATATCATAGAATCTTCCCTCTCTCTCTCTCACTCTCTTTCTTTCTTTTCCTTTCAATGTTCCTATCGAAGTACGTAAATTATTTGTGTTGTGTTGTGTTGTGTTCGTACACGCATACATTTTCGTCATTTTGTTTTAATCCTTTTCCTTCTAGATATTTTTTATCGTTTTTTTTTCCTTTTTCTTCTCATTACTTTTACATTTGAATACGTTAATTATATCTTTCTGAATTTGTTATTTGTATTTTTGTTTGTTGTTCTACTCTCGAGTAGGAAGGAAAATTTGAAGATGAGATATTGCTTAGGGCCCGTTTTAATTGGCCAAGAACAAATAACGCGCGTCAATTATCGAGCGATTATGATTGGGCGAGCGACCGATAAAAAAAGTGTAAACTTAATTATTTTTCTTCGTATAAGAGAGTTCTTATATATTTTATATATATATATATATATTGTAGAGTTTAAATGTAAAGTTAGTTGAATAATTTGTGTTTGTTCGTTTATTGATTTTTTTTTATATGTTTTAATTAGTAAGTAAATAGCGCGTGCGGAATCCGTTGCTTGTTTTTTCTTTTTTTTGTTCATTTTTTTTTTTTTTTTTTTTTTTTAAGTATATCTTCGTTATATTTGTATAATATAATTGTATGTGTTTTTTCTTCTTCTTCTTCTTATTTTTCGTCATCATTTTGTTGTGCAAAAATTGCCGTAAGTAAAACGATTAAGCACGATTAAATAATATTCATTCACGTTCAACAATTTTCTTTCATTCTTAATATTCACCTAATCTTTCTTTCTTTCTTGATTTTTTTTACATTCGCACAATAACACTCTATCTATCTATCTCTCTCTCTCTCTTTCTTTCTTCCTAAATTTTCACCATAACACTCTCTCTCTCTCTCTCTCTCTCTCTCTCTCTTTTCTTTCTTTCTTTCATTTATTCCAATCATTCTTGTTTCTCTTATTAGTGTTCACTATATATAATTAATATTCTCTTGCAAATTAATTTCGTTTCATACTAAAGAAAAAACAAATTATTGACAAAATAAGATAGAGAAAAAAAAATTGGAAAAAAAAAGGCCAAGCCCCGTTGTTGCAATATTATATTATATTATCAGCATGATTATTCGTTCGGTATTTTTTTATATCGACCCTTCATAACGCCTTCGTACACACACATAAACGTAATTAAATATTTTATATATATATATATATATACATGTATGAGATTTGTAATAATATGCGGTGTGGTGCTGCATTTCGTTATTAACGAGAGAACTCGTTTACTTAAAAACTATATATGTTTATTACAATATATTTACACATACATTCACATATTTATATATGTAAATATATGTATATATTAGTATATTGTTGTATTGGTTTTAAATGCACGTTTAAGAGACACACTAACACAATGAATGTCTTACACTGACGAGCCTGAGATATTTAAAAATACATAAATTTTGACGAAATTAGGATCGAACATATAACACGACGAAGTATTAAAAGTCGATTTTTTTTCTCTTTCTCTCATTTTCTCATTTTCTCATCTCATCTCTCTTTCTCTCTCTCTCTCTCTGATACACATGCATACAATATTTCAATCGTTCTCTCATTCTCTTTCTTACGGATTAACATTCATATTCCTCTCTCTCTCTCTCTCTCTCTCTCTTTCTCACACACTCGCGTTTTAACCTTCCTATAATATTTGTCGAAAGTCCCTTAAAGGTTCGGCACACTCTCCTCTTTTCATTACACCATTTACATTTTTTTTTATTTTTTATTTTCTTTTTTAATTAATTTTTCAAGCAAAACAAAATTATCCATGACAAAATTGGTCGCCATAATTGTAACGTTTATAATTAATCGAAAGATTTTATTTATTCCGATTGATTAATTTATTATATTAGTGAAACCTTGAAGGATTACTTATTCATTTCTCTTTTTCTTTCTTCTTTTATTTTTCTACCCTTTTCCTCCTTCTCTCTCTCTCTCTCTCTCTCTTTCTTACAATTAATTTATCAGAGAAATTTATTTTTCCATAGGAAAGATTTTGTTTTTACAAAAAAAAAATCAAGCTCGACGAGAAGTTCGCGTTGACACGGCACAAATAAAAGAGCGTTCACTTCTTCATTTCTCACTCTCACTCTCTCTCTCTCTTTTCCTTTTTATCTTTATATTTTTCTTAATACCAAAAGCAACAATTCTAACACTCACTCTGTTTTCTGCCACCCCGAAAGCTCTTTTAAAAGTCATTTTTCGTACGACAAATATACAACAATTTTACGATCGCATCGTTTCGCAAAGAAAAAAAAAAAAAAAAAAAGAAAAAATTGATCGAACCCTAAATTCTATAATTTTCATCACGCGTGTAAGAATATAATTAAAAATCGAGCATGATCATTGTGTATATATGTATACGTGAATACGATTAGAATAAAATTGATTGTATTGCGTAAACGAGAGAGATGACCTATTTAAATAATTATCTTCAAAAGTTACACAAGATCACATTTTATAATCTTACACTTCAACTCTTTTCGTAATCTATTTAATTGAATTTAATTATAATAATAAATTATCTCGACATATATATATATATATATATATATATATATACATATATATTTATATTCAACAAATTAAAGATAGAACAAATGATACATTTGATTAACTCAAATGCACTCGTTCGTTTTATAATCTAAATGAAATAACTGCGATCGAAAAATAAGTGATTTAGTCGATATCAAAAAACCTGGAAGCCGAAGGGGGTGTTCTTTTAGGGCGGAGGGGGTTGGGGTGGCTCGAAAAAAGAAGATTTATGAAAAAGAAAGGAGACAAACGGTACAATCATCGATAGCGAAGGCAACGATATTATTACATTCAAAAACTTGCGTGCACGCGGTATCGCAAATGTATGTATGTAGTTTTTTTTATGTAAGTATGTATTTTATATATGTATATATATAAATATATATATATATATATACGTATATATGTATATTAAATAATTACAATATTTACAACAAATGACAATCGCTTGTTTTTTAATGTTCTTGTTGCAGTTGTGTTGTTGTTGTTGTTGTTGTTGCTGTTGATGTTGCTGTTATTTATTGTTGTTGGTTGTTAAAACGATGCCGGTTAGTTGACATAAAAATCCGTGATAACAACAACAACAACAACAACAACAACAACAAAAATTATTATTATTATTATTATTATTATATGTTTTCATTTTTGTCTCTTTTTTATATTTTGTTTTTTGTGTTTTTTTTTCTTGTTCCGTATCTTTCATCCCTTCTGTTTATTTATTTTTTTTTAAATAGTCCATTGGTACTGCGAATCGTTCGTCGGGAAAAAAAAGATCGTTCACTCTTGCCTCTCCTTTGGTTTTATTTATTTATTTGTTTATTTATGGTTTATTTTTTCTGTTTGTTTTTGTTATTTTTTTTCTTTACGGTAGCTTGAAAGTGTCTCTAGATAATATGTATATGTATATGCATGTATGTACGTATGTATGTATATTTATATATATATATATATTTAATTTGTAATTTTTTATTTAAAAACCCTCACGCACAAACGCACGCACGTACGCACGCACGGCGTCGTTCAAAGATTATATACAAATGTGTGTAACTTTGGAGAATGTCTTGTTTATTCTTTAATGTTAATCTTCTTTTATCACCTTCGTCACCTTCTTCGTATTCTTCTTCTTCTTCTTATTCTTCTTCTTCTATTTCTTCTTCACTTCCGCGGCTTATATATTAGATTTTTTTTTCTTGTTGCACAAAAACATACGTGGTATTTTTGAATATTTATACGTGTGTGTATATGTATATATGTATACGTATGCATGTATGTATATGTCTATAATATATATATATATATATATATATATATAATATGTATATCATGACTCGCGAACGATTCGCGATGATCTCGTCTCTTTCAAATCGTATCGTGTGTTTTATTTTTTTTATATTATATTATATTTTATTTTATTTTATTTTATATTAATTTACTTTATTTTACTGTACTTTACTTTACTTTACTTTAATTTACTTTACTTTACTTTATTTTATTTTATATTTAATTCAAAGAGTTCCGTTCGTTATTTTTAACCGTTTTAATTTAATAATATATTTATCTCTTCTTCGTGTTTCTCCTTCTTCCTCTAATTTGTTCTGGATTCTGTTGGTTAATTGTTCGTTTTTTTTTTTTTCTTCTTTTATTTGTTTTCGTTACAATCTTCGTCGTTTTATTTATTAATTTATTTTGTTTGTTTGCGTTGAATGTGTGAGTTTTTTTCTTTCTTTTTTTTTCCTGTTCAATCACACGACGAAAAATGTTGTGTCCGTTTTTCTCAACTTCGAGGGTAGGTAAGCACAATATTTCGTCCCTCGTGCTCGAAGATTTGTATTCTTCGGTTTCCACCAATGAAACTTCTTCTTCTTTTTCTGCTTCTTCTTCTTCTTCTGGATCACATTTTCATCATCGTTCATCGACGTCCAAAAAACGTGCCGATCTCTTTTCCTCCGTTTCACGTTCACTCGAAACTTCATCGATTCGCAGTGATTTCACTGAAAGTACAGGCACGAGAACGTGTTCATTAATTAATCATAATTCGTGAGTTTTTAATAACATTTTTTTTTTTATGGAGAAGCATCGAAAGATCGTATTTATTTAATTCATTTTTCTTTTATATAATATAATATTATTATTTTATTAATATATATTTGTGGTATATATCTTATTTTCAAACACTATCAATGATATATAAATGTTCTAAACAAATATTTCTATATAACGTTTGACCATATTGTTTTAAATTAAGACTTTTTATGCATATTAGGACTATTTATATTTATATTATATTGTAAATATATTTATCAAATATAATTTGATTGTTTTCATTATATTATACAAATAATGTCTGAAGTTTTTTTTTCAGACAAATAATAATGTATTCTATGAAATAATATACCTAAGTATATTTTCAAATATATTATAAATAAATTGTCATAATTATAAATGAATAAAAAGAAATAGTTTTCCTTTTTTTCTTTTTCTCGTACGATTGTTCGAAACTTCGATATGATCGTTCAATATGAATTGGATAAAAAAAAAGATATATAATAAGGAGACATTCAATATTCTGTTTGACACATCTAAAAAAAAGGACTTCCGAATACGTCTCAATGACTTACCTCTCAAACCATTTATCTACATAAAACAGGTTTTCTATCAAACGTCTAAAGGATGAACGAGAACGTTATACGAACTGATCAACGAATTTTTTCAGAAGCTTTTCATCTTCTTCTTTTTTTTTTTTATCTCTTTTATCTATCCATTTATTTGATTTTTTGAGTTTTGAGTTTTTCTCTTCTTGTTAGATAAAAAAAAAAAAAAAAGAAAGCAAAAATCTCTCTGAGAAAAATCATTTACGAGTAATCAATGTCCAACGTTCGATGATGAATTTTTGTTTGTTAAATACAGGGCATATATATATATATATGTGTTTGTTCGTGTATGATGGGTTTATGTACAATGAAAAGTTCTTTTACGAGCAGGTATAAAATGGATGCCATGAAATAAATAAATAAATAAATAAAAACAAATACATATATAATATAAAAGGAAGAAGAAGAAGAAGAAGAAGAAGAAGAAGAAGAAATAACATGGAATTGAAAAAAAGAAAGTTCGATCGTTAATTAGACAAACTTGTGTTCGAGATATTTCTCGTGGGAATGCTATAATCACAGTGGAGAAACTTTCAAAATTCTTGCTTGGTATTAAAAAATGATTTCGGTAAAAAAGATAAAAAATAACGAAAAGAAAAATATAAACAGACAAAGAGAGATAGTAAAAAGGGGAGAAAAAATGGTTTCTATAGAAAAATTCAGATTAAAATATAGAGAGAAATAGAGAGAAAAAGAGAGAGAGAAAGAGAGAGAGAAAAAGAGAGAGAGAGAGAGAGAGAGAAAGAGAAAAGAAAAAAATTGTTTCCAAGAACAAACGATAATGAAAAGTGTCGATTTTACGCGGGTACTCTTTTCGTAACAATAAGAAGAATCAAATGAAAAAAGACAAATTAAAAAAAAAAAATATATATATGTATAATAAACAATTGAACTTCGATATATCGGAATTATTTTATTGTTTAATTTAGAGAATGAAATTTGTATATTTCGAAAAAATAATGATTTACTTTCTAATTGTGCAAAACGATTATTTAGCGCGTGTTAGAAAAATAATGAACCACACGAATTTTTGGAATGAAGTTAATTTGAAAAAAAAAAAAAAAAAAAAATTGTTGGTAACAAAAGATACAAAAAAAAATTTTATCTTTTTTGTTTGTTATGTTAATTGTAAATTGTGGGTACCCACGTGAAATCATTGAACTAACTACGAAGTTATTCCTTGATCTTTGGGTGCATACCTAAAACTATCTGCCGCAATCCGGTATGGGGGAACATGGCTGCTACTGTACTTCTATAACTAGTCTACATAAAGACTAGCTTTATGTCTCGTCTGATATGGCGTACATGATATGCGGATGCTCTATAGTGGTGTTTTCTAGAAAGATACAGCCTTACGCGCAAAGATCTTCCCCCCCCCTTCCCAAAAAAACTAATCCCCATATACCTTTCCTTTCACCATTTTTTCTATGATCTATCATCGTACCAACGGATTAATCTCCCAATCAGAATTTCACCTATACGAACTTTTCATTTAAATCCATTCGTTCGTACGTTCGTTTGTTCGTTTGTTCGTTTATACTAAACTAATTAACAATTATTAACTTTTTACGAATTAAATTAAATAAAAAATATCTTGACACTTCATTTCATTTCATTTCATTTCATGAAAGAAAAAACATTATCGTTCTATTGATAAAAAATATTTCATTCGAATTCGTTATATTATCCGTTTTGTTATGTTTTAAACGAAATTCGAGAAAACATTTGTATTAATAACAACGATTATAAAACATCTAGCATGGTTATTATTAATAATAATATCTAACGATAATAAAAAATAATAATAATAATCATCGATCTATGGTAACTAGAGTGAGACTTTATTCGCGACAAAATATGATGTTCCTACCGTTTCCGATCGGATGTGACTTTTATTTTTTATTTTTGGTTTTAATGTACCAAAAAAGGACCGGATAAACTCGCCCCCTTTTTTTGTTTTTATTACGAAGCTTATTACAAGCACATATTTTAATAAATACACAACGATAATTCTCCGGAGATCTCTTTGTAGGATTTTTCTTATTTTCTTTTCTTTTTTCTTTTTTTTTTTCTATTTTTTTTCTTTTTTTTTCCTTTTCTTCTTTTCATGAATAAACATCTAGTTCGCGTAAAATTACAACGAGACGAAAGTTAAAGCTTTTTTCTTCGTACAAATCTATCATTTACTTGTATATATAATTACAGAAAGAAAGATTTAATTCTTTTCTTTTCTTTTTTTTTCTTTCTTTCTTTTTGTTTTTTTTTTTTTTTTAATTAAAATTTTCCTTTACCCTCTGTCCTCGTTCGATTTCGTTCGTCCTTTTTTTTTTCTCATCCCCTTTTGGATATATTTTCTTACGATTTTTAATAATTATCATTTTTGTCATCTTGTCGCTCATTTTGTTCTTAAACTAATTCCGTTTTGTTTAAAAAGCGTGCGAAAAGTAAAATGTCTGTTATATATACGTAAACAGTTCGACTATATAAAGCGTAACTAAAAAAATTCGACCTTCTAATCGACAAACATCATTCTTAGATCTTACAGGATTCTAAGGACGTGGCTGAGGAGCGACGTGATAAAGCAAGGGTTGAAGGCCCACTGACCAGCAATGTGGCGTCAAACAGTTTGTACCATCCAAACACCATCTGATTCAGGTTCAGATCGTCCAATACGATCTGTGCGAGGCCCATGAACACTTTCTTCCCTTCGAAACGGCCATAATCACCCCAAACTGTAATCTACGAGTATAAGAAATATATTCAATTAGATAGAAAAAGAAAAGGAAAAAGAAAAAAATGTTTATTTAAAATAAATCGTATACGTGTGTTAATTTGGTATACGGTAGTTCTATTTTAAATGGATTTTATATATTTTTTTTGGTTTTTCTTATAAGGTTTACTACTCACTTGCAATATACAGCCCCGGTAATTTTCTCTAAATGCCAAAGATTCTTGGTAAAAAGGATCTAACGTTCTTCGTGCCGTCGAGGTCTTCGCTTTTTCTATACATTTCTTCCCATTCATCAGATAAACCTTTACGTAAGAAGCTGCAAAATTATATGATTGTTATTACAATAAAGCCTTAAATCTATGAATAATAATAATAAAAAAATTTAAGAATAATAAATAAATCAAAGTAATAATTACAAAAAATAATGATTTTCCGAACAATTTCGAATCGATAATAATAACAAACTTAGACGAATAAAATTATTACTACAAAATTAATCGTAAGAAAAAACTTGATTACGAAAGAACAAAAAATTTCGATAATTTTTGAAGAAAATAAAAATAAAAAAATAACTTAAATGATTAACATAATTCTACGTGTACTACGTGATGATATAATATTTATATTTTAATGCGTCAAAACGTTAAATAACTCGAATGAAAAATTGAGAATTAAAAATTCTAATGAAACTGATTTGAGAACGTGCACATATATGTGCATACGTTAATGACTCGTTGAAGAAAAAAATAATATGATATGTAGAACACAAATCCAAATAAATAATAAGATATTAAAATGACTAACCTGGAATGGCTTTGCTTCCAATTTTCGATTTAAGATCTTTGGCACGAATTATCTCAACTTCGAGATAACCTTTGGTATTGCTAAGAGATAGTTGTATGGCACCAAGATGACCAGCACCTAACGCTTGTCTTCCAACTACTTGTGCAGGCCCAAGATCCTCGATGAAGTCTCTCAGCTGCCCGGTCTCCGATGCCAATCGCAGACTGGGTGACCAGCTGCGGTTTCCAAACAAACATTTTTACTAAACAATCCTACCGATCTCTCCCGAATCTTCGTTGTTAACTTCGTAGGTTTTTCTTTTCTTTTCTTTTCTTTTTTTTTCTTTCAATTAAACAAAATTACAAAAAAAAAAATAAAATCTTCATTCAAAAACAAAGAATAATAATCAAATTAATATTTGGGGGGGTATGGGGCGGGGGTTAGGTAGGAGCTGAGTGGTTCGGGGAAAGCTGGAAAAGAATTCAAATTATCGGAGGATTTAATTTTCGTGGGAATAATTTTTTTTCCTTTTTTTTTACTTTTCTACGATCTCTTTCTTCGCTTCTTTTTGTTGTTGTTGTTGTTATGTATTACATTTTGAATAGAGTAATAATTCTAAAGTTGTTGTTCGATGAGTGAGAAAGTTCGATCGAAGAGAAAGATCGTTTGAAATTAATTGAATTAAAATTTCAACGTTGGATAAATTCAATTTGATTATTTATCTAACATCGAAACGGTGAGTGGAAAAGGGGGGAAACGTGAGAAACGAACGTAAAGCTTATCTTGCGGTGGGAGCGAGGGACGATTATATTTTTATTATTGTTTTTTCTTATTCTTTTTTTTTGTTTTTTTTTTTGTTTTCATCATATTATTATTTTTCCTAAGCCTTCGACGAAAGTGCGTTCATTTTCTTTTAATCTAATCTTTTTTTCGTGAGAAAAGAAAGACAGAGAGAGAGAGAGAGAGAGAGAGAGAGAAAGAGAGAGATAGAGAAAGAGAGAGAAAGAGAGAGAAAGATAGATAGAAAATGAGATAGAAAGAGATAGAACAAATAGAAAAAAAAGAGAGAGAGAGATAGAGAGAGGAGAACATCTCACGTGGTCAATAATTCACGCTGAAAGTGTTAATGGTTTTGTTTTTTTTTTTTTTTTTAGTGTAAATATATAATGATTAAATATTTATTTAAAAATAGAGAAAGAGAGAGAGAGAGAGAGAAAGATAAGAGTAATTTATTTGCTTATACAGAGAGAACAAACGAGTTAGATAGAAAATCAAAAAGACATACTCCAGGCTATCAAACTCATGCAATTCATTTAACAGCTGTATGCGTGTGTAAGTAACGTGTGTCTCGTGTTATTTGTTTAAAATTAGCGATTAAAACTACGATCGATACGGACGGATTAAATAATTTATTCCAAAAAAAATTTTTTTTTTGTAGATTTATATTAATTTTAAATTTTTGTTTATTTAACAATGCTGTACCGATCGCAGTATATATATGTTGTTCTAAATAAATTTCTAATTTTCAACCACTGGGGAGAAACATGCTAACGCTAGAATTAAATATTACACAAATCATTCGATTTAAAGTGTATATATTATAAAAATTCTATAATACGTATGATTAAAAAATCAAATTGAAAACTGACTTACGGTCGTTACTCGAAGATCCTGCTAAGGCCAAATTTAAATGCACACTCTATGAATAATATTAGTTAAAAAAGGAGAGAACAGTTTTTTAGTTTCTCTTTTTTTCGGGGTATGAAGGTTCTTTTTCTTTTGCTTTCAAACACAATATAATATAATCCACACATATTTGTATTAACGAGATGATCTTATTGGAAACAAAAATTTATAGTAGATAAATTAATATTATATATTATATTATCGAATTATATAATACGAAATTGTATATATATATATATATATATAACGATATAGTATTTATTTATATTTAAAATAAACATACAAGTGAAACACAAGCAAGAGAGATATCACACACGCGCAATAATTGTTTTATTTTTGATTCGTTTTTTTTTTTTGTGCGTATAAATAATTTGATAAAATGTATCAAGAAATTTTAAATCATCCTTTTAAGATGAAAATTACAATACTTGCTCGCGAGATCCACGTTGTAGTTTTATTATTATTAAAATTAATAATATTAAAGAAAGAAAAAAAAAAAATATAGAAACTTATTGTAATTAAAAATAAAATATTAAATATTAAGTCCTTTTGTGTGTGTGCAGCTTTCCTCATCCACGTATGGCTTCTTTGGGTTACGTCAATGATAACTGATAACACGATCATGTAATATACGTTTAGAGAGAGAGAGAGAGAGAGAGAGAAAGAGAGAGGAAGAAAGAAAGAAAGAAAGAGACAGAGAGAGAGATAGATAGAAATAGACACGAGTATTAAATACTGTTAATAAATAAAACAGAATCATTCTCTTTCGTTTTTAAAAATCATTATTTGTTATCACAGATTTATCGTTGAATCGACGCAAACGAAGATCACTTCGACAAAATATAATCGTACGAGTAAATTTTCGTGAACAATAATCGTACACCTAAAAAGAGAAAACATATGTTTTTTGTATCTTATTTGTTGTACGAGCCAAGATCGTCGATTCATCGTTGAAAAATACAAAATACACTTATCTAATCTACGAATAAGGTGCATCGCACAAAACAACGTTGAGAGATCGATATATATTATAATAATAATAATAATAATGTTATTATATATTCTTTCCAAGAGTAAACATATATATAATAATAATAATAATAATAATAATAATATCTATTATTTATATAATATATATATATAAGAAGTGTGTCCCAGTTATTACCCACAAAATGTCACCAGTATTTTCTATAAAGTAAAAGTAAGTACAAAAATATTACATTAATATTGAGCTCTCAAATGATTTATTTAAAAATTTCTTTTAAAACAAATATACGCTTACGCGGAATGTATGCAAAAATATTGGTTATGTTTTCTCGTTAAAACATTATAATTAAGCATCGTAAAAGCCCACATTTAATATAACATTT